CAAAAAGTTACGACTGATAAAACCTACAATTGGCCTTTTGTGTGTTAGGTGAAAACAGTGCTAGATGAGATCATGGATCGTCTTCCAGAGCCCTTCAACATGGTAGAAATTATGGCAAAAGCAGTTGAGAAAACGCCATATGTGGTAGTTGCTTTCCAGGAATGTGAACGAATGAACATCCTCACCAGTGAAATCAGACGGTCTTTGAAAGAACTGAACTTGGGACTGAAGGTGACTGCATATTACATGCTCTTGCTGGTGCTGTCTTCAATAAGACAATTATCAGCTATTCAGCTGGTGTACTGATCCAGAAAAAAGATGAATGGAAAATTGTTTTGTGGTAATATATCAAATCAAGTTTCAGTTGGTGAACAAAAATGCCCTTCCGCTGAATTTAATCCTTTTTGTAACACCAAACTGGTCTTTTGCTTTTCTTCTCTAGCAAATTACCCTGACCTTCTCCCCTCCTTGGTTTATCCCCCCCCCCACATCCTATCCAAGCTCTTTCTCTTGTTTTCCCCTTCCATTCATCCCATCTGCCTCCCGTTTTCCCTCCAGTCTCTTTTTTGCTGTTCTCATAGGGAAATTGTATGTATACTGAATATTTCTCGGGATGAGGGGAAATGGTTATAGGGACTCTATTTTAGTCAAATTTAACCAGTCGTCAATTAATATACCTCCCTCCCTTTTGGGGTCCTTGTTCTGCTCTTGGGTTTGCATGCTCATATACAGAACAAGACTGTCACTCACACATGGAGAGGCCAGGAAATCAGCTGGGGTGGGCAACTTCAGTTGGCAAGGCAGGGACTAACTGAATTAAATCTGTACATATTAGATTTACTCTTTCTTTGAGAGTGAATAATCTTAAATTCAGAATAGTAATTTTTGAGTAATTATGTAGTGAACACAGGTTTGTGTGTTTACATATGTGAAAATTGAGGGAGCTAGATCCAAAGCGTGGCTGAGATATAATTTAATGTACTGGCTCCCACGGCTGCCTTAAAAGCTGTCTCTGGTTCTTTGCATGAGTCTGTACAGGAACAGACAACACTTCTCCAGGAATTGCCAGCGCAACTCTTCAAAATAGGTGTGCTTTTAATGTTTGAAGCAGGTGTGCTTTATTGTACTAATACTCTTTCGCAAAGGATTCCTCTGAAATGCTTAGTTGGGAGCTAGAAGCTAAAGTTGTTCAAAAACGTGGACGCTGCTTCTCCTTTGAAACTCTATCACACAAGCATTCAGAGACAAAAACTGATTTTTAGTGTCAAAAATCATGCTTGTGTATGCTATGCATATGTTTTTGATTCATATTACAATCAGTCATCATCTAATTTCAGTCCTGCCAATTACAACAGTAACTGGGAAAATAATCTTATTTTCTCAGTAGTGTATTGGGAAATTTAAATTGCTACACAGTACCATAATTAACTTGAGGGAAAATGATAAAAAGTCCATCCGTCCGTCCGTCCCCCCCCAAAAAAGAATTTGTTTATTGAATAATACAATATTGAGAGGATCTTAATTAATATTCAGTTAATCAGGTCCAAGTGGGATGCCATTTCCTTAGTTACACTCAAAATTATTCAGATGGACAATATGTTCAGGCAGGATGTTCTGATGAGGGCAACAACCAATTTACAACTTTTACTTTTTCCAAAGGGTGAGTTGACAATCACAACAGACATGGAGGAATTATCCAATGCTCTTTTTTATGACAATGTGCCCGAATCCTGGACAAAACGTGCTTACCCATCTTTACTTAGCTTAGCAGCCTGGTATGCAGATCTACTGCTCCGGATCAGGGTAAGGACTAAGCCTTAGTTAAAACCTTCCATGTGGTTGTGGTTGTGGTTGTTATTGTTAGTACTTTGTTGTAAAATTTGCTGTAAATTCTTAAGGCTGATTTTTCCAAAAAAGCTAAAAACCTGCCCTTAAGCATTGCTTTTCTATTGGGATCTTATTTGCTTGGTTTTCTTCTGGCAAACCTTTCATTGCTATACTAGGTAATATTGTCAGTGCTGTGATACAAGGGAGTTGCGTTTGCTGGCTTTTTATGACTAGCATCTTGTCCTACAAATCTTGATCAGGAATGTTGTGGATTGTCTGCCTGTTTCCGATTTGTTTATCTAGTTTGGTTGACTCTATTGTTTCATTGAAAATTGCTCCTATCTATTGTGTCTATTTAATTGCTGGGTATGATAAGGATGTGCCTCAGGCTGCTTGCTTCCTTGTTGGATCACTGCTTTTTGAAAATAGTTTATACACTGGGATTTTATGTGTTTGTTAATGGCTGATCGATCAGAATGCCAGGCTTTTGTGAATTCTCTTGCATTGATCTAAAAGAGTTTCCCAGGTGAATTTATGGTTGCATTTGTCTATGTGCTGTGAAATTAAAAAATCATCGTGTCTTGTAAGAACTAGTTTATGGATGTATTCCGATAAAGCTGCTTGTTTTTCCTGAATGGTGGCATTCAGAGTCCTTGCATTTTATCTTGCAAATAATTCTGTCTTCTTCATTCGTTGGGTCTTTGGGGTTGCTTCATTTTGTTGAGAGTTTTTATTATTCTGATGTCTAGCAAATGAAGTGAACTGCTTACAATTTTTAAAGTATTTTTTGTTGTACGGGAGAACTGATCTTTTCATGAGTTGTGGTGATTGTGTACTAGTTGGCTGCATAGGAAAGCTACTTTTTTCTATTTTGTTAACGTTGCTTTTCTTTGAAGTTCTTGGCTGTATAGCATTCTTACTCAGCTTTTTTTGCAGACAGTTGGACTGGTAATTGTATCCTTTGGTTTGTTATTTTTCAATACACCTGAGTTGAAATTCTGGCATTGTTTCCTCTTCTGAGAAATATCTCGGAAGAGTAGTAGGTTACTCTTTTCTTCTGCTCTTGTGAAATTAAATATTATTAAATCAACTATTAAGGATGTTCTTGAGTTTCCCATTGTCCTCCTTTGATCGTGACAACTTTGCATCTACGTAACGGATGCATAGTTTGATTTACATATGTGGGAGGGCTATTATTTCCAGCTATTGCATGTCTGCTTGTGTTATGAATCCTTGGATTTGGTGTTCCTATAGAGCAGGCCTGGCAGCATTTAATTTATAAAAAAAAAAAAAAAACACCTCTGCAGCTGCCAGGGAGGAACTACACCACTACCTTTAAACATTGAAAGGAGAATGAGTTGGTATCCTACAGTCAAGAAAAAGAACTTTATATTCATTTCCTTATCTTCTTCCAGATCTCTGCAATACCTTTCTATTTCTTGGTGACCCATTCAATTCATTTCCCCCTTTTAAAAGTTAAATAACAGTAGCAGAACAAAGACTCACATAATCTTGCATATTATTCATAAAAGAATGAGTTTATTGCAATGTTTTACTCAAAGTTATCATAATGGCCAGCAATAGACATGTCTCTAGAAATTCTGCTAAGTCCAACAGCCATCCCTCCTCCCTCCTCCCAATGTTTTTACCAAGGACTACAGAAGGAACAAATTTGCAGTAGTTAGATTACACCTACAACTGTGATGCATTTGTTCTCCAATTCTCTTGTAGGTTTGCTTTGAGTAAAGAAGTTTTTAAAACAGAAGAGTGTCAAAACTCCTATACCTTAACACTGTTTAACAGTACATACAGCAAAATGAAAAGACAGCTCTCTTTGTCTGGATTTTTGCTATCCTACAAATCTCAAAGTGCCTACTCCAATTTGTTCAGCAAATTTTATTTAATACATCTTCCCATTCAAGCTATAGGTGTTTTTAATGAATACACAGGGAGAATTAAAGTTGCAATATGAAGCATGTGCAGTCCTTAATATGCTTATCTATGAAACAGTCACTGTTTTCATTTCCAGGAGCTGGAGGCTTGGACCACAGATTTTGCCCTGCCCACAACTGTGTGGCTAGCAGGTTTCTTCAATCCTCAGTCTTTCCTGACTGCCATTATGCAGTCCATGGCTAGGAGGAATGAATGGCCTCTTGACAGAATGTGTCTCTCAGTAGAAGTTACCAAGAAAAACCGGGAAGATATGACAGCTCCACCTCGAGAAGGCTCCTATGTGCATGGGCTCTTCATGGAAGGTACAGACCATTCACCTAGTAGTGTAGATAAGATATGGACATTGTTTAGTGTGATTCTCGGTTTAATTTCAAAAACCTTCTCAAGCATGTGAGTGCAGCTTACAGAGGGCCATTGGTGTTTTCTTCCACAGCAATTTGCTGAACAGATAGGAGAAGGTGCAAGAAAATAATTTTGGAAACAGAACTTGGTTCTTCTATTTTCAGATTTTACTTTGAGACTAAATAGGTAAATTACTGAGAGATTTCTGTTCAGAATGTTGTTTTCAGACTTTTTCTACCAGGGTTGCATCTGTTACACAATTCTGTAACCAAGAAAAATAAAAGAATTCAGGTGCCCATTTCACATTCTCCAAAATTAAACAAATTAAAGAGTAGGATTCTTTAAGTACTGTTCAATGACAGCTTCAAGAGTTCCTTGCAATGTTGAAATTAAATTTCTTTTTTGGTAGTTTTAAGTCCCTATTGAGTCAGGCCTGACACCTGGTAACTGCGTGGGTGAATATTCATTACCTCAGCCTGACCCCTAGTGCATCTCATAGCGATTCCAAGGACAGACCTGTCATTTCTTTGATCCACCCATCCACAACATGATTTTTTTTCCTAGCCCATCACCCACTTGCTTCGGTTGTTGATCGTTGCTGCAAAACAACAGTCAGTTTTAATTTGGTCCAGGTTTTATTGAATAATGACTGCAGTCTGTGGTACCCTTATTTACCATCTCCAGTTCTATAATTCAAAGACAACTATATTTCTATTGTCTCTCATTCTTCTTCAGTGTCCAACTTTCATACTTACACAAACTATTTGACAGAAATTATGCTAGAAATCAGCCACTCGGCAATACTATCTGCACCCACAGCAGAATCAGAACGAATCCTCAAATTCATTCTGATAAATAACTATTTGACACCGACCAAAAAGATAAATGAGGCATTTAAACCATAGCTGCCTCTTTTATTTCATATCAGTAGAGGGCAGCAGATGTCCATTTCATGACCAAACCCACCTGTGTTAAAAAGCAAGCGGACAGCTTCCAAAATTCTTTCTACTTTGGGAGTGTTGGGACTAAGATATATATATATATTTTTAGAAGCTTTTTTTTTTTAAAAGTTGAGCTAAAAGAGCCTAGATTCTTCTGCTTAGCTGTGTATAAATGGACTTTATGTTAAAAGCACTTGTAGGAGTGCACACCCTTCTGCAATAAAATAATAGCTGCTCTAGGCCAAGTGCAGCGTATGCATCCAATTGTTTCATTTTGCTTATATTCCTGTAAAATATATAAGTAAGCCACCGGCATAGCATCAAAAGCAGGTGCAAGCCAAAGTCTAGCATGTAGTCTTATTGCTGAAGTTAGCAGGTTGATAATCATGCAAATTCCCTTTCCTTAGCCTTGCTGCAAAACAACTGATCTTGAGAGTACTGCCCCTATATTGTTGCAGGTGCACGCTGGGATACTCAGACGGGGTTCATCACTGATGCACGCCTGAAGGAGCTGACGCCTTCGATGCCAGTCATTTTCATCAAGGCCATCCCTGTGGATCGCATGGATATCAAGAACGTGTATGAGTGTCCGGTGTACAAGACACGCACAAGAGGCCCCACCTACGTCTGGACTTTCAACCTGAAAACAAAAGAGAAGCCGGCTAAGTGGATTCTTGCTGGAGTTGCTTTACTCTTACAGATTTAATGTCTGATAAAGTTTTGTCCACTTCATCATGGGACTTATATCCCTTCCCAGAAACCCAAAGAAAGTAATTGTAAGTTTCAAAATAAAATTTATTTTAAAGTATATCTGGCCTGATGTTCCTACTCAAGTAATCATTAACAACATTGTTCCTCTATTTAATTATTTTCCACATAAAAATTGATGTTTTTTTTTAAAAAAATTAAAATCGGATTTTTCTTATTTAAATCGGATTTTTTTTTTATCAAATTTATTTTAATAAAATGCTTTTGGAGTAAAAATCTATCTAAAGATAGTTTTCTATTTAAGATACATTCATAATTTAGTTTATTCACCATGAAATGGAGCTTAGTTATGTAGCATGAGACTGTATATTCTGCAATATTGGGACTGTCAGTGAGTCAATAGTGGGTCAGAGGAGAAGCCGCTGTGGGAGAGATGACAGTTGCTCTTTAAAAATTATGATTTAAATCGAGTTGATTTAAATCAAGCCTTTTTACTAGTGATTTAAATCATGATTTAAATTGTGATTTAAATCGACTTGATTTAAATCAAATCCACTCTGATTCTCCATGACAGAAATGTCTGGTCGAGTAGTGGCTCTGCAAGAACACACACAAAGACTGTGCATTAGCTATCACTTACAGTTTATGGCTTAGCCCAGATGTCTTCACCTTACTGGCCATATATGGAACTTGGGGGAAATGTAACTTGCACTTGCAAGGGTAGCTAACCATAAAACTCATTTCATGAACTAAAACCTGGTCAATCTAATAGTAAAATAATTTGCTCAAAACTCTGAACATAAGTACAAATGGAATCTAAACCACTTTGAACCCAGAGTCACCTCTCACCCAACACATACTTATCATGGTGATAGACATTTCTCTGTACAAACACCAAGACCTGTTCCTGCTTCGTCATTTTGGATTGCCTCTGTTAACTTACTAGGTTATTTCTGAAGCTGCCTATTAGGTCATGCCCATCCAGCCCAATCTTTCCACTTCTGCCTCCCACAATATTGGCTCACCACCAGCTCTAACTTGGATCATTGTCAGGCTCTTCTCCCTGGTGTCTCCTACCTACCTAGAATCCAAACATTTTTGTAATGAAACTCAGCTCTTGCGTGTTTGAAGTTGCACAGCCAGCATTCCCAAAAAATACAGAGTGCTTGACAGGACATTATCATATTTCCATTCAAAAAAGACACTGTTATGGTGTCCAAAAATTGTAAATAAATAAACTTACACTTATCCAGGGAAATTATACTACTTGTACAATGAATGCATTTCTCTTTCTATTTGCTTTGTCCATTCACCAAAAAGAGGGATAGCTGTCAATAAAAATAACTTGACCAACATAACATAACATCTAATATACCCACCCACCCCTCTAATGCTTGGATGTTCCCGACTAACTCACTGCAACAAGAAAAACCAGTGCATGAGACATATTAGTTATTTTTGATATGAATTAAGTTTAAGTTATTTCAGTATATACATGTATCGTATGTAAACCATCTTTCTGGTATAAGATTTGAACTTACCTTTAACATTTTGCTCTCCAAAAAGTAAATAAGCAAAATAAAATAAATATCAAGAAGCCATTTTGTGGGGCAGGAGAAAGTGTCCACAGGTGAATGATGCTTATCAATATCTGATATTATTTAAAAGCACTCAGCGACTGATGAAGTTTTAGGAATCTGATTACAAATGTTAATAAGCAACATTTATTATGCTTATTTGATTAGCAAAAAAAACCCCATATATTCCTCCACATTTTTGTTTATTATGAACAAAATACCCAGATGTATCCTTAACCTTTTTTTAGTCTTACACTAGAAATCACTCTTTAGAGCAGACAGTAACAGCAAGTCTAGGCATCTGCTTAAAATACTAATTGATCTGATAAAAGGTAGAACATACTTACTGAAAGGCTGTTTACTATCAAAATACAAAAGTAATACTGTAGTCTTTGATTAGAAGTGGTATCATGTAGCTTTATGCCTGGGACACCAACAGACTTCTTGTGCATGTAGTGCTCATCCACATCACTTCTGTGCTCAGATCCACATTGGCTCAACTTATCTCATGTTGCATATATGTTTTCCCAACAGAGTTTTCACCTCAATGCCAATCCACTGCTGACAAGCTAAAACTGTATCAAAGCAATCTGACAGGAAAGTAGTGCTTTCTATTGAAAATAAGAAAAAAACCTTTTTGTGGATTTTGGGAAAAATTGTTGGGAGGGCTGGCATGTGGCAAGGCTTCACCTGGTTGCTTTGGGGCTCTCCCCACCTATCCAGCAGCAGGGCTCTGCGTTTCTATGGAAGATATCCCCATAGGTAAGTTCCAGCTGGCAAATAAGTGAGCCAAGTGCCCTTTTCTAATAAATTCTTGTTACCACTGCTACCACATCTTTGCATCCGTTGGTCTTCCCAAAAGCAATGGGCATGGGGAAATGCAAAGACCAGGTTTTTGCAGAGAAGCTGAGAAAAAAACAAGCAAATGAGGGAAGTTAGAGTCAGGCCTGGACTCATGTTTTGCTCTCTCCCTTCCCCCTGTTCTGCCTCATCCTCATCATCCTGTCACACACACCAAGCGAGGAAAGCACTGCCTTCAGCAGAATAGCAGCAGTGGCTGCCATGTGAGGGCAGCAACACCGCAAGTCTTGTTCCTGAGGCAGAGTAAAGGACCATTATGTTTTAGGATCTGTTATAAAGGAGAGGAGGAAAGCACATTGATGCAACCGGGTGGATGATCCCATTCAGAAGAAAAGAATTTCCACTCCTCAGCAGTTCCCAAATTAGTTTCAGACATTACAGTCAAACATTATTAAGCAGCAAGACTATCCCAGAACTGCCTGTAAACTCATTCTATCTTTTTTTCCATTCAGCAATTGAAAAGAATTATCAGAATATCTATGGAGGGCTATTAACTCAGACAACTCTGCTCAGTAGAAGCTCTGCAGTTCTCTATGTGAAAATTAAACCTTGCTTCCTTAGCAATTCAGAGCATGCGTCAGTTTTCAAAGCAGATTTTTTTTTAAAGGCAAATTTTATGTACTTCAGTATTTAAAATGGTATGTGTTAACAACATAGTAAAATTATAATTCTCCCTCTCTAACAAAGTAATCTATTTATTCTTTTTTTCCTCATAGCAACTTTGTTACAGTCTTTCCTTCTTTTGTTTTGCTCTTAGTGTCAGAAGACAAAGCAAGGAAAATAATGGTCCACTCTGTTCACAAAGTAAATTTTATTATCATTATTTTTAAAATCTACCATGGTTGGAATGAAACAACAGAGGAACTTGGTTGACCAGAACATATTTCAAATGCATCTAGATGCAATCTTAAGTCAGCAGCAGGGGAGGTTCTTCGGCTTCTTTGAGTTACAAGAAGGAAACAGTATGACCTTTGCTTATACAAAAGGGAAACAAAACAAATAGCACTTCAGAGAGAAACTGAAAAGGGTACAACCTATACTCTCTTTCCCCAACTGCCAATTCAACCTTGCTAATGCCATTTAAGACCAAAACCATGAATTTTCTCCTCAAAATCTACTTCTAATGGACAAACGTGGTGCTTTAATGAAATCCCCTACAGCCTGCAGGCTGGATGCGTCACGCGCTGGCCACGTCCACGCCCAGTTTAGCGAAGGGGGAAAAAGTCATGATATGTCATGTGACAACGCAAATTTGACACCGCTGCCCTACAGCATTGAATTACAATCACATCAAGGATTTTTTTTCCTCCTTAGTTTGTGGATGAAGGGCTTATCAATACCAAGTACTAGGGATAATTTTCTCTTTACTCTTCAGAAGTGAGATATTCTGATGACAATGTCCAAACTCACTCTTGTTGGCTCCTAATTTTTTGCATCATTTTCCAGCCAATTTATTCCCTCTGTTGCCCCACTCCAAGTGTAATATTATTACTACACTATTTTGCTTTCTTAAAAAAATTGTAGTCAGAAGCTGAAAACTACAATCCACCAGCTACTGTTATAGTCCCACTCACATAATTTTTGAGTAGCTATGCTGGCTGGAGCTGAGGGAAGACGGGGCTCAAGAATGAGCTACAAATTTCCCTCCTTTGCACTATTTACATACCCTGGGGAAAATTATTCGATATGGCTAATAGAGTAGTATATTAAAATTACTTAAAATCCAAAAATTACTTTCTTGGAATCTAGTGTTTCTTATTGTAAATGTTACAGAAGATGTCTATGGAATATATGGTGCCAAAATATCAGAAGGAACATGGCATCACTTTTTCCAACTAACAAATTTGTTAACTGGGTGCTACCAAAATTCTTCTGATCCCTCAGAACCTAGCATCTACTCAAGGGTACAACAGAATTAGAGTTGTGCTACCTCTGGCTATCCTATAATGTCCTAAATTAGCACACAACAGATGATGGGTGCAGTATTTAACTATCATAGAGCATCTCTTTTATTAAAAATAGTCTTCTTACAAATGAGAAAATACATATGTAAAAATATTTAGACAATATTAAAAAAAAAAAAATCTCAAAAGCTGAATGTAAATGTGGTCTAAGACTTCTAGTATCTAAGAAACAGGTATTCAATTCCTTTTATATCTCCTCACAGTTACCAAACCCAAAATAAAATTCTCAAATAGCTAAAGTAGCATTTGGATTATCTGACAACACAAATTTATGTAGCATTAACTGATCACAAATCTTGTGATATTAATTACTAAACAGAAGATCCATATAATCCTCTGAACTTTCTTTTTCTCTGAAGCAGATTATAGACAGCCTTTTCTCTTCCTAAAGGGAAATGTTCAGGTTCTTTTATGACTAATTTCTAGCCATATGAAAAGGAACAGGCCCAGCAATTAAATCTATTTTCATGTTGGGTTGAAACCAACTTGTGTAGTTCTTAAGTGTGCTCAGTTTCACAAATGAGTAATAGGCCTTGAGGCTCACCATTAGTTAAGAAGCCTTTATGAGCAATGTCTCCTCCCAAAATTTAAGTCCTCCAGGCATCCTTCTATTGAAAGAAGAGTGCTGACTCTTGGGTGCCCCTACCCAGTAGAATCATTCTTGGATAAGCCTACTGTATGTCTGTTTACCCTCAACAGTACAGAATTTTATGCTTTCCTGTCCTTTCATGAGTCCTTATATTAATTTTGAATTTCTGGGGAAAGGTTTTCTCACTGCGGAAACAACAAAAATCAATACAAATTTCTTTATTCAGTGCCGTGTATATTTATGACAGAAAAACAATAGCTGATAATTATTAAAATATATTATTGTGCACCAAAAGAACACAAGTGAAAGGAAATTATTTATACAATGTTCCAGAGTAGCAGGCAAAATTTAGTTCTATGTTTTGCTCTGAGATAGTTGGTTAAAAATATGTCTCACTGTTCCAGCATATTTCTGCTTATGAGAAGTAATAAGATCCTAATATTATTACTTCAACAAAGCTGAGTTGCTACTTTACTCTTTGAAAAAGGTCTCTCCGTTTAAAAGGCTTATTTTTGTTTAAATAAGACGGAAATGTACAGAAATGTATTTCTACCTTTTCTTAAAGTATTTTTTTACTCAAAGGAACAGTGATTTCAAGGCACATTCAAAATTTACATAATTTTGATATATTTTGTACCCTTACAGACTCAAAATTCTTAAAAACCAAAATAATTCCACAATTGAATTTAAAGTTGTACAGAGAGATCCAGTTATTTTACATATAGCTTTTAAACATTTCCCAGAAGAATCTGATCTATGATTGTAAGAGTTGACACCAAGAACTCAAGACTGTACAATGTTCAGGAACATTACACATTGTAGAAATACTTTAAAATGAAATCAGCCTCTACGCATTTCCTGTTAACTGAGGTGCTTCCCAATAAAAGGAAGCTATAAAAAGCCTCATATCATACTCACCAAGAGGATCCGCTTCTCTTTATTTCAGAAGAAGTTCTTAATCAGAGGCGTCAACATCTTCACCCACAGCTTGACATAACGGCTTGGCTGATCAAATGTTGAAGAAGACACTGTACCAGAACGGGAATATAGCTGCTCCTGCTCCTAGAGTAAGAAAATTACAACCTGAATTTCAACATTTACTCTAATCAGAACCTCCTGAACTGTAGTCCACCACTGCTACTCAAGAACCAGCAAATCTTGTTAGAGTCTACTACCATCACTGTCTAGCTTAACTGTTTTAAATCAAAATCAGTCAGATCAAAATCCTGGTATTTCATCCCAGCACATGTTCTCCTAAAATGTGATCAGAAATCTGTCACTTCAGTTTGCCAAAACTTTCCAGAATTTGGCATCTCAGATGCTAATTGAGCCAAACCCCAAGTAATTGCAAACACAGAACCCAACCCACATATGTATACAAACATACAAAGAGGAAAGCACTGCAAGACTGGCTCTATGGTTATTCTTTTTCCCGTAACACAGCCAAGCCCTGAGCTATAATTGTCCAAAAAGGAAACCCAGCTTTGATCTCCAGAGACAGGGCTGCTCATTTCTCTTTAGAAAAATCCAAGGCTCCATTCAAAAACTAATGTGCCGTTAAGGTTTCAATGTGGTTCCCAGAAATGTTAAGCTCTTTAAAGTACAAACAGTACAGCTGGAAGGAAAAGTGAATGTTTCTATTACAAAAGTGTACACATGGCATTTGAAAACTGTGTTTACAACACATGAATATTTCATCTGAATTAATAAAACAGACAACTATACGTAAAGAGCTATGATATCATTATGGGACTTCTGCCCATCTTCAACCAAGCTACACATTTCTATTCTCAATTCTTAAAACATCTTTAACTCCAACTAAGCCTATGTGGCCCACACCACTTAGCCTATGCAAATGGGATTGCTATTCTCTTTTTTCTTCCTACACTGTGGATCCCACTGAGGTTTAATAAGACCAGTTTTAGAAAAAAAAAATGGATCCCATTTAATACTTTTCCATCTGCCAAACTGATCTGAAGAACACTCCATAATATTGCTTCCAATTTTACATAATAATTGCAGCTCAATAGAAGGCAGTGAGAAAAATCCTAAGAGTGGCTAATTGAAGGTTCTGCTCTGAGAGCGAGAAAACCATTATGGACAGCAAGACAGCCTTCACAGAGTGTGCTGCCCCATGTGACATGCTCCATTCTGAGGTTCATCATCTATTAGAGCACACAAAAAAGACTGAGGAATGACCGTATAGGAAATAAAGGAACTTTTTCAAAAGGTTTAGGTAAACATTCATTTCAGCTCTTCTGCTTGGATCCACTGGAATGACAACAGGATAGACTTTTACTTTCAAAAAGATATTCAGAAAAGTTAACTAAATAAAAAATGGTAAGTAGAGCTTCCCCTCGAACTATCTAGAAAAAGTACAGATGGTGCTTGCTTAACTACAGTACTTGGTAATGGCAATTCCTCATGGTCATAAAATGCAATGTAATGTGACTGTGCCAACTTATGAAGGGAGTGGAGAAGATCTGGTTGCCGGTGAATCCCGCATGGTTGTTAGGTACAACATTATTGTGATCATCATTTACAACGTCCTGATCAACATTTACAACTTCACTGACTTTGCTTGTCAGAAGCCAGCAGTGAAGGTCACAAACAGCAATCCTATGATCGTGGGCTACTATGACCACTGTAATGTGAGCCAGTTGACAAATGCCTCAATCACAATCATGTGACAATAGGGAGGCTAAAACATATGAAGAACAGTTGCAGGAGTTGGGTATGTCTAATTTAATGAAAAGAAGGACATGATAGATATGTTCCAATATCTAAGGGGCTACCAAAAAGGAGTCAACCTATTCTCCAAAGCACCTGAAGGCAGGACCAGAAGCAATGAATGGAAAGTAATTAAGGAGAGAAGCAACCTAGAACTAAGGACAACTTTTCTGGCAGTTGGAACAATTAATCAGTGGAACAACTTGTCTCCAGAAGTCATGAAAGCTCCAACACTGGAAGTTTTTAAGAAGAGATTGGACAACATTTGTCTGAAATGGTATAGGGCTTCCTGCCTGAGCAGGGGGTTGGACTAGAAGACTTCCAAGGTCCCTCCCAACTCTGTTATTCTCTTATGCTGCAATAGTCACGATTATAAGACCAGTCAAAAGTCTACTCATTCAGGACCATTGTAAGTCTGAATGTTTGCTGAACAAATTGTCAAACTTGTACAAACAATAAGCAAGTAAAACACTGCTTTTTATAGGACAATGATTTATAGAAATGATAGCAATTTGTGTGGTTTCATTCCTCCAGTTTGTCTCTGGCTTCTGAAACACCCTTCTCACTTTTCTAACCACCTATGGATTAAGGCATACAAAAATAAGATAAAATTTAAAGGAGGATCAAATCCATCCTCTAACAAAAGGAGCTAAATTAGGCAAATGGCAAAGTCTTTTTTCCTTGTCATACAAGATTTCAAAAATTGTGGCATGTGGTGGCATGAACTACCTCAGCTTCCCTTTCCCTCTTCCCAAAGTGCAATTCCTGCCACTTCCTATATTTCTGAAGTGTTGCACAAAGTAAAAGTATCTCTTTCTTCCCAAATCCTCCACAGATGCCACAGAAACAAGGAAGGCACATAGTAAGGCTGCCTTTTTTTTTTAACCATTTTACAGATATCAAAAGTTTAGCCAAAGATACTTTATTTCCACTGTTTCTGATTTCTACAAAACCTGATCTGATATAAGTAAATAACATGGGGTCAGGGGGAAGTTCAGTTCTGAGTACAAGCAAGTTGCAGACTAGTAAAACAAAATATACAGCCTCAATGTGCATTATTTCTGGGGTTCAACTGCAAAGAAACTAGGTAAATCTTAACTGACTGAACAGTGAATATTCTAGTTCTCAAGGGAAATATCAGATAGTTTAAAGTGTATTTCCAATATTCAAAAGATTAATACTATGAGCTCAGAACAATTATCATGTTACTAAGCAAGTCTAGATCAAACAACTTACAAAGGCACTGCACAAAATATTTGCTTGTCTAGAAGTAAGACTACAGCTCACTCTGATTTGTGGGAAAAAAGCCAGGAAGAGACAGGAATTTTATCTCGTAATAGAATTAACAAGGCTTATGAGTTATCTAAACACTGGGAGCTACTGGAAACAGTTTCTAGAGATTTTGCTTGGGAAGTGAGGAGTTGCTACATTTCCCCGCAGCAACTCTCAGATGGGAGAACCGCTTCAGAGAAAGACAGAGGGATTAATTTACAACCAGAGTAACATACTGTCACATTTTTCTCATGCTCTCTTCAAATTCCTGGGTCAGCTTCTTATTCAGAATTCTTCCAGCATTCAACTATTTAAGGTAGTGGATTTAGGTAGTGAAAGGTCATTTTAAAAAAAGCCTTTTGTCGATTCTCAATTACTGATTTTTTTTTTAAAAAAAAATACCCTCCTGTCACACCCAAACCCTCAGCCCTATGAAGTAGATCTAGTGCTCAAAAAACGAAGTCTGTGTTGCTACAAACCTGATGGAACTGCTGCTGTAGGGCTTTGTTTTCTGTCACTATCGCAATCTGTGCTTCCAGGTCACGATGAACTGACCTGTACCCAAAATTAGGAGAACCAATCAAAGTTAAGCAGGGGAGGCTGCTTCCTGCTAAGTACAACCAGAGGCCTGCAAGGAAACATAGAAAGGAAATATGGCAGACAGAGGAAGTGATCGGGGTAGCTGTTAGGTGCTCCAAACAATTGTTTGTCATCCAAAGGCAGGGTAACAAAGCACACAGAACGTTTTGTTAGGTTTACCAGCAGTGTAAATCATTAAAGTGAGCAACCAGGAAATAGAGGCGCTTCCCGCCAGAGATTGTCATACAATTCATACGAGAATTAGCCTCTTTCAGCTTGCACAATGCAATCGCCACATGGTGCAGACCATGTTCTAATTTCCATTACTACATTCCAGCTGTCGCAAACCTAACTAATGGCCCAGGCCCCAATATTATACTTACCATATTTGAAAATAAATAATTACAATGAAGACTGCAAAAACAAGCCGGAATTGAGGCCGTTTTAGCAATTTTTAACGAGACACTATAATAACGGCCCCTTTTATGTTTTTAGGATAAATGGGCAGGGGAAAACTATGCCAACTGGAACTCCTGCAGAGTACAATGAATATATAAAAACTGTATTTACCTACCAGATAGAGGCTACACTGTAACTACTCCCACAATTCTTTGCTCGGTTTTTTACAATGATATCAACATCAATAAAAAGTCATAAACGGCTAATGGTAATAGTTTTTCATAACTGAAAAATTATTTTGGGATCTGGGGAGGAAGGAGAAAAGGCTTCCCTTGAGAAATTATATAGTGTAGCTTCCACAGGCATAGATAAAATTAAGTTCATTAATTTCAAGAGTGAACTGCTCTTAGCAATCAAATCCACAGCAACACCTACTTGTCAAGCTGTATCCCACCTGAAGCAGACAGCAGGAATGTTCCTACAGTATTTCTAACATTGTATTTTATTTGTGCAATTCACAACACAAACAATACAGCGATACAACTCACATTCTGAGAACATTTTCCCACTGGGAAAAAATATTTTAAACAAAACTCCTTATTACTACTAGATGCCGCATTATGATAGAAGCCATTGTAGAATCAAAAACAAATTTATTCCTGCATTTCTAATTCTAATCCTCATTCTGGTAAATAGGGGGTTTTTTTTGGAAAAACAAGCCAACCTTCATTGCATCTTTAAAATGTGCCATGATCACAGCATAATATGGTTTAATACAGATACTATACTTTCAGCTAAAATAATAAGCAACCAACAGTTTTGATGTCTCTTTCGGGAAACTGAACCTCCACCCGGCAGTTACCTTTTCACCACTCTGTCACATCTGCCAGGACAAAAGTAGCACACACCCATTTTGCATGGTTTCCTATCTTCTAATCTCTTTCTTTTTGCATACAAAAAAAAAAGCAGAAAGCAATATTCCAAAAACACCTATAATAACTACACGAAACTCCCAAACACACACATGCAATCACAAGGCTTCCCTGCAGGCTGGGATCTAATTCATATTGCAGCAACTAAATGAGACAAGAGCAGAAAGGGCTAGTAACTTTACTCATGGGGGATCCATTTGCCCCTTCTTTTTAATTTTTGAAAGAGAATGGGGAATGGGATGCTGAAGACTGACAATTTTGCAATTGGAGTTCGGTGATACAACCTGGAGGAGCTGTGAGGGTCACACTTCACCTGTGATATGTGGGTTGGTAGCACTTATAAGTTTTGAAAATTAATCCTGATGCCATTAACAAGGTGAGTACAGTATTGCAGTTTGCATGCAAGCAGTTGACTGCCAAAGAAAGGACACCCTTACAAGTTGTGTTTGAAGAACCTGCAGTGCAGTAACATCTAATGAATTAATTATGCTACTAAAACTTGGGAGTTTAAAACATCCATGCATTTTCTGTTAAAGTGCCATTAAAAATATAAGAAAATTAATTGAACAATTCTTCCTTCCCAAGTTACTGCATCCATTTTATTAAATTTGATTCTTCTTTTAGGGTAAATAAGCCCTTCCAAATGAGGAGCTGGATTGTCCAGCTGCTCCAATTGATGGCTCTGAGCACAACCTACACTGCAACCCAGCAGAAGTGAGGGAAAGGGCCGCCTGCTAGTCCACTGGAATCTGACAGAAAAGACCCCAGCGTTGCTTTTGATCATATGGACCAGGCATGGAATGGGAAACCAGAAAGCCGGAGGCTGCCTACTGTAAGAGGGGATTGTTCTTGAGACTATGCCAACCTGATTTTGCGCACGTCATGACTCACCTTTCCAGGAGGGAAGTATAAAGAATATCTCAATTGTCACTCAGTTGCAGTAGAGAAGGTTTACCTCAGCACAAGGGATACTTTGCCCCCAATTGCATAACTGACAGCAAACCATTTTTCCCTGCAAGAACACACTTGCCTCTCCTAAGAGGTGCTTACAACTACAGCCTTTATTTACCTCAAGCCTCTTCATCTAATCTCATCTCTTCCCCCACAGCCAGATTCCAAGACAGGAATCTTTGTGCTTTCCCAAACTAGTGAGGAATTACTGCCTCTTACGCAATTTGGTTTGGTAAGTGGATGAATTCTTGGTAGTCCTAACTTAAGAGTGCTTGAAAGTTTTTTAAGCTGACACATCTTACCTAAAACTCTAGCCAGCACAATACTCTGGCCAGATGGAAGACGAAATGTATCAAGAATGAGAAACGCTTCTTTAAGTTTGCAGCATCAAGAAATACATGGAATTGTGACTTTGTATGGCAACTGCACTTGCAATTATTTTGCTTTGTGTAGATTTTATTTTTGATTGCCATTGCTCAGTCAAAGCCAGTTACAGAATGCCCATGATATTATCTTAAGCTACTGCAGAATCAGCAGCTTTTCAAAGTATAGTGTGTATTTCACATTTCCTAGAAGAAACACTGAATCATAGAATGAGGAAAGTCATGTCATATGTAGTCAAATGACAAAAGTATGAAGGCTTTGGAGAATAAAAAAGAATAGGGGGAAAACATTTCATGAGGACCCCCACCCTCCTTTCCCAGCATTGAGAAAATAACCAAAGTCCTCTTCCAAAAATTGTTTTTTTTTCCCCTTAGCCCTCCTATCTCTTAAGAGGTTTGCAATAACGGAGCCCACTGCCAGTAAGACAGAAAATCAGCCATTCTAAGCCCATCCCCCTTTGAAGGGTTGCTGACAGGGGAGATCTTAAAAGAATGCATAAGCAGTGCTCTTGGTTACCCACATGATCCCATCCCGTGCCCTTTTTCCTGATTTTGGCTAAGCGGGAGCATGAATATGTTTTCTTAACAGAAAAGAGCTTACTCAGCAGCCATCCCCACACCCAACCTCCAAGCCTCTTCCCAGAAGCTCTGCAGGAAGGAGGCTGGGAAGATATCAGCATTCCCATAATGATTAACCGCCACAAACTCAGACAAATAAAAGCCTAGATCCCTGGAGTACAACGGCCTGTTAGGACGTGAACTTTGGGACTTGCTCAAGGTAATAGAGAAGGCTGCCCAGTTTACTCTAATCTAATTTATACAGTAAGTGACAAAGAAGTTCCTAAGTGCAATAAAAAGTGGACTGATGCAAGAGAGAACTTGGATTTTGCATGGGGAATACTAATTATTTCTGGAAGCAGCTTATCTTCCAAGGGCTAGACAATGGATTCCATAGTATGGCAGTGTACAATTGAATGGAAATTTCAGGCGCCTCAACTTGCCAGGACATGCAAAATATCCAAATTTGAGAAATTCAAATTTGGTTGCTTTCAAATAAAGACTATGAAAATTACTGTATTTTTCCAACCGTTTAGTTTCTGCTATGGTTTCCACATAAATTGTAGCTTTATCACAGCTGGGACATTTCACTTCCACTTATGTTTTGGGCATCCATTTCCTCTCCCTGGCATATCACAATGTCACCCTGCTTAACCTTGAATTCCATTCCGCATACCACATCTTTTGCAGAGAAATTTTTAAATCAAGGCAAGCCAGTAAAAATGCAGGAATCCATTGTCTTTTTTCCAAAATGGATCTGATTTCAGACTTCCCACCCTAATTTCTCAGAACACAGGAAAGATAGGACTGCTTCATTAATGGGAGGTTTCTTCCCTTCAGGCATGCATCATTCTTAAATGTTACTGGAAAATTGGCAAATTCAGTTCAGTACCCAGATTGTTATTTGTCAGATGCCCCAACTGGTCTTTAGATCCCATTCAGCCACTGCTTTCTTAAATGGTAACACAATTTCCTGCTTTCCCAACTGACCACATCACAGTAACGGGAAATGAAGAAATTGTAGCAGATTACAAGGTCAGTAATGTAGTTAACAATTCCCATACACCTTCTTCCCAAATCTAGTACTATATAGTTCCTATTTTCTACTGTCTTTCCTATATGGAGAAATACTTTTGATTTTGACGTGGCCATCTTTTTAAAAAAAAAATCTTCCTCTGTCTTGTATTGCTGGCATGTTTTTATCTTTTCTATTGGATTTATTTTAAGCTATTTTTTTTAATGTAAGACACAGAGTTGCAGCAGTATATAAATGCAATAAATAAATAAATAAATAAATAAATAAATATTGCTGCAGTAGTTTCATTCATATTTGGTTCCAATATGTCATATTCCTGACCTAAATATAAAATTATCAAGCTAAACTGATTATCAACAATATGCCACAGTGGTTTTACTGCCACTGATTAGTTCAGGAACAGTAAATTATTTACATCTGTCCCTGTGGCTTAAAGTTCTAACTTGAAATCCTTTGTTAATCTCTACCCTTAGAGAGGCATCTTGGAAATGTATCATATAACCCCACCTCGCAAGGCTGTTGTTGTGGGGAAAACAGAAGGAGAAAGGAGTATTATGTACGTTGCCTTGAGTTACTTATAAAGTAATAAATACAGGATAAAAAATTAACAATAAATAAATACATTATATGACTGTGGCCTTTTCCTAGCCTTTTTAAACCTACAATTCATAATCATATCATCCAGCTGGGTTTCCAGACAAGGACCTGGCATGAAAATGTATCCAAGGACCATTCTCCAGAGCAGATGCAGATAGATGCTTAAAACAGAATTAAGTCTAACTCATTTTTTGATAAAATGTTCAACCACTTCAATGAATAAGCAAAAGTCCTTTGCCTAGAATGTCTCACCTTTGGCATGGAAAGTCCATCCACTCCTTGTATATTCCTGCAACTGAACTCTCTCTTCCTGACCCAGGCCACACACCTTGCTGAAAAATTGCTGTTCAATGTAAACATAGGCAGCAGGGATGGCACCTGCCACCCCTTTGGCTCCAAAGAACCCATTCACTTCTGGTGAGGCTAATAGAATCTGGAATTTTGCCCGGGTGCCTAGAATCAGATCAACATATGTTTTTGTGAGGTTGAAATAACCTGTGGTGAGATATATGCTGGCACCCTGCTCTGCTTCCATAAGGAGAGTATTTGTGACAGTCTCATCTATCCGAATCCCAAACGGCTTCATCTGTATTAGTGGATAAATCCATGTGTCTGGTTCTGATTGCCCATCACCAACTGCCTTTGTATCACTGGATGAGATTTCTTCTTCTGTATTGTTGCTATGGAAAGTCCGAGTGTAAAATTGTTCTTGTTTGATCCTGGCAGAATTGATCACTTCCATCACTTTCTTATTTGCCATTTCATAGTAGGCCATCTTGTCTCCTGAGAAGATAAATGTATGGTTTAATGAAATATAACATTACCTGTATGAGATCTATCAAAGAGATCAGAATAGTAAGTGGTTGCTTCCTGCAGGTCAGGAATTATGGAAGTCAAATTAACCTAAGATAGTGGTGCTTAAACCAGGAATTACTCTTAAGGGGATTGCCTAGATATACCATGGAGCAATTTGTAACTGTTTGTTTGTGAGCCAAAGGTCCAGCTGGAATTGCCCCTTCCAAGACCTTGGGGTAAAACAACAGAAGGTGGAAGCTTGGGGTGTGTGTGTGGTGATAATGACATTATTTGAGACCAGGAAAGGGTAATTGGCATAACAAATAGAACTAGGAAAAGCCCCCTGGATGCAGCTTCTACCTGTTGCTCTTAAGCCTAAAGAAATCCCTAATGCTCTTTTAAAAGCATGATCTTTGGACTCAGAACAGAGCCAGACTCGCCACCAACACACAGTTTCTGTAACATGTTTTGCTTGTTGGTTTGGCTTTCAATTGTATCCACTGAGTTAATAATGGCAATGGGATATAAGAATGATATGGGAACGAAATCTGGTTCTCAAATGAAGAATTGTGGATTTATTCAATTAACTTTTGTCAGGCGCTAGATTACAAAGGAATTAGATTAGAGATGAAAGCAGAGGCATGAGTAACTGAGGCATATGGGGCATATTGGGAAGAGTGTGTCTTCCTCCTGCCCTGACATGACTCATTTTCCAAGTTTTGACGATCAGGACCAGATGAAACAATTTAGCCTTATCAGATTCTTCTCAGATCTCTTGCAGAGACTCTTGACTTCCTTAGTGACAGTAACAGAATAATCTGAAATGCTGCTTTGTGACTCTTATGGACTCTGGGATTTGTGATTTAGTGTGATTAATTGAATTTACAGGTTCTTTCCGGTGGTGATACCCCTTTCAGTACCTGACTAAAGGTTTTTTTCCCAAAGATTTAACAGACAATTTGCATTTCTTTCTAATCTATCTATCTATCTATCTATCTATCTATCTATCTATCTATCTATCTATCTATCTCTATCTCCTACCTACCTAAATAATTTGGCATCTCACCAAAGGGAACTCTGGGCAGCGTACAATAGATAAACCACACAACAAATAAAAATGTAAGCTACACAAATTCCCCAAACTGGAAAAACTGCTAAAGTAACATTCATGCCACATACCTCTTCCATTTAATGAACATAATTTACTATGTACAAATAATAAAAAATAAGGCTCCTGTGATTTAAAAAAAATATCACAAAATGAAATGGAAATGAGGCAAGAATTTACAACTCTTAAGGAATTGTCAGCTAAAGTGCACATCAGGTACATTCTTCTGTGCCTATTTGAGCATAATTCAGTTTATGATCATCAACATAACAAACATCGGAGGGCAGTCCAGTCCCCGTTTACTACTCCCAGAGTATTTGCTTTTGTTACATGATCTAGAAATCACAGCAACTGGCTTGCCGGGAAGGGCTCTCAACAATTGGTATTGCTTGGAAAATACCTCCCAAGGGAAAGCGACACCCAGTGACTTATGCTCTGTATTAAAGATTAGCTTTCCAGGTTGTAACAAAGAAAGACTATTCCCCAGACACACACACACACACAATATTTTAGTGAGTACAAATAGCATCCGCCTTATGAGCATTCATGTACAGATTTTGAAACACACATTATACAACAGTGCTTGGAGCTCTTTGCTTCTTCACATTCAGGAATCACCACAAAGTCACTCAAATTATTTACTAGCATGGGAATCATTAGACTGTTTAGCTTTAGCCTCACAATCTACAGAACCAAGTCATCTTAGCCCAAGCCCCTGGCTACAAAAGACGAATGCAAAATTTTATTGTGGACTCAGCACTGTTTTAAATGGTTTTCTGTTTAAATTATATTGTGGTTTTTATTCTTGTTTGCCATCCAGAGTTCCTCCCGTTTAGTCATGGTCATAAAATTTAATGCCACCTGTTGATAAATTCCTTCCATCATTGTTCCTCCTGTCTCAAAGATTGCAGCCCTAAAGTATATCAATTGGCAATTGTATCTGTAATCCCAGTAATCACAGTTAGCAAAGAAATTCCTACTAGCTCAACCAGAATATTTCTCCTGTCACAAAAGAATCTCCCCATCAACCCAATGGAAAAGTGTCTCTTCGGGGATCAAGCTAAAAGCTGATTAGAAAGGAACCATAACTCAATTTTTCAGCCTATACTTTACAGAAAATCACTTTCAGACTCCATCCTTAGGAATATAAAAGAAGATCAACAGGGTTTACTGGGCCTGGCAGTGCTTTCCTAGCTCTGCTTTCAGAGATCCTTATGAACCCCCAGGACACTGGGATCTGGACTGTATAACAGAAGGTAGTATGGATTGGTATTGGTATCAGGCCTTTCTGACATTTATGTTGACTACTGTTTAATTTTATTTGATTTAATAAATTATATATCTTAACTCAATTTTATAGGGTCCAATTTATACATTCTTTTTACTGGAAAGTGGTGATCAGTCAGTATTCTACTACTTCCTTAGAATTAAAAGTGCCTAGGTTTTCATGTGTCTATTTTGTATTTTTGAATTAAAATTAGTTTTAGTTACGGTAATTCAGTTTTTGTACTGCACTTAGTTTTTAAACATATTCTATATTAATTATATAGTTATAGTTAAACATCGTAATGATTATATCAACTACATATTATATCAATATATAACTATAATTAATATAATTTATATTATATTGTCATCACGAAAACTCAAATGAATTCTGGTAAGGTACAAATCTCTGTCTCTCTCTCTCTCTCTCTCTGTGTGTGTGTGTGTGTGTGTGTGTGTGTGTGTGTGTGTGTGTGTGTATTCCTTGACTTACAACAGTTCATTTAGTAACCATTCAAATTTATAACGGTTTTTCAGTTACAACCTTTGCAGCAGGTGAACAAAATTCAGATGCTTGGCAACTAGTTCACATTGATGACCGTTTCTGTGTAACAAGGTTATGTGATCCCCTTTTGCAACCTACTGACAACCAAAGTCAATGGGGGAGCCAGATTCACTTAACAACCAGGTTATTAGCTTAGTAACTGCAGTGATTTAATTAACAGTGGTGGTAAGAAAGGTTATAAAATGGGGCAAAACTCATTTAACAAATGTCTCATTAACAACAGAAATTTTGGACTCAATTGTGGTCGTAAGTCAAGGATTACCTGTATACGTAATAAATTCCTTGCTCCCCAAAATCTCAATTTATGGCAATATATAAAATAAAGTGATAAATAAATGGCCATCCTACCTTTGTAAGGATGGACCATCCCATCTATAATTTTGACTGTGTCATCCTGCTGTAACTGTAAAGATACATCCCCAACTGCATTTACTAGCTCAGTGAAGAAATCTGCAATCTCTGGTGAGTTTTGCAGGAACACGTAACGGTCTTGTCGATTGCTGAAGTAAGAATCACTTAAGTTGGCTCTGGAGAGGGGAAATAGGATGGCAATTAAGAATGCCAAATGATAGTATATAAATCATTATTCAACTCACATACATTTGACAGTTGAGAAAACAATAGACAGGAAGGTGTGTAAGATGAACACATGAACACTAATATTGCCTTCCTGATCCATTTCCCCGTTTAAACTTTGATTAAAGGCAAATTAATTGTAGAATGCTTATTCAGAATCACGTAAGACTAGAAACAGTCCAAAAATGGCAAAATGCAAAACAGAACTATGACACAGATTCCAGAATTTGCAGAATGATCCCTATTATGATGTGGCTTAACTGATTTCCTTTTTTCTTTCTTCTTCACTGGAAATCGACAGAATTCTTCCTAACCCAATGCTATTTCCTTACAAAGAGGAACTCACCCACTCAAGATCACATTATCATCAAAGAGATAGACTTTGATATGCTGCAACCCGATGGTTTCATTAAAACGCTCAGGAATTAGATGTCTGAGAAGACCACGTAGATTAGGAGTGTGGAAGAGAGAGACACGGACCTTATCTGGAAATCGCCTCAGGAGTGGAAGCAGCATGGTTCGAGAATTCTTCTGGCCTTAGGAGGAAAAAAATAGATGGGATCACAGTAATGCAGAATATCTGCTCCAATCAAACTGTAAGAATTAGAAAACCTTAACAATCAGGAGATGCTGGAAACTTTTATGTATAGTATGTCTAAATAGGTCCAGTTGTTCATCAGCTGCAGAGTGACAAAAAATGACCATTTACTCTCTAGAAGCACATGTTAGAAGACATTTTGTGTCACCTCTAGTTGCTTTGGAATAATAATAATAATAAGGGAATTTAGTGAACAATTATTGTACCAGGCATACATGCTTTCGCTCATTTCCATCTCTAGTAATCAAGAATAGTAGTTGAGCTTATGATTAAGTAGTTTTTCTGATCTCCCAAAAGATGGACCTAATAGGAAGATCTTAACTTCACCTCCTCCAGAGGCCAGGCCTTAAGGCATTTCTATATTTTACAGAGGGAACTCTCTGCCTTCAGCTGCAAGTTCTGATTCCTCCTTTATTGTATTTTTCACATAACAGCAAAACTTGCATCATGGGAACAGAAAAATGTAAAGAGATAGACTGAGTACAGTAAAAGTACGGAGAGTTTTGTGTACCTCTCATGCAGCATCTTTTGCAAATGAAATTTGTTTTGCTTGGACAGTAGTGCCTGCTCTTTCTTTACTAGGGCAGTTGTGCCTGAGTATCAGACTATGGAGTTCATGCCTTTCACCTAGGAGCAGTTCTTGCATTTTTCCATCAAGGACACTTTCATTACTATCTATAACTAGCCTATCGTTTTGGAAGCAGTCAGCAACACAATGTCATTCACTGAACTGTTCCTTTGACACATCACAGATCTCTGCATGGAAAACCTGAGTCACAAACTTCTTGTCTTCTGGGAACTGCTCAAGGCACAAACTTAGGAAATATCAGTAGCAAGTCATGCAAGAGAATAGAGATATCTCTTAGAACCAAATCAAAGAATTGGTCATCAGCAAGACCATGGTTGTTTAGCTGCGAGGCCAAGATCTGTAGTCATTCACAATAGCTGATCCACATAAGGGCAAAATCTTTGGAGGGGGAAAATGGGCTCTGACTGGTCTGATGAAGAAGATGCACTGGTAAGGAGGAGTCAGAATTCTATATGAATCTGAATTCGGACCTGAATAGGAAGTATGAGAATTAGATAGTAAATGCTGCAAAAGAGGAGGCACCAAAGTGGCCATGAAAACAGTCAAATATAAAGGAAGGTTTCAAAGGAGCAAATAAAACATCATTAAGAAGAACGAAAGTACATGGGTTTTGATATACTCTGGATTTGTTTTGTTTTGTATTAGAAACAAACAAAAAAAAAAGAAACTCAACAACACAGAAAATATTCCTGATTATGACAGGCAGTAAAAGACGAGCTGAGGAAAACCAGCAGGCTAATAATACGTAAGTGGGGAGAGATAAGGTTCCTATCAATTCAGCTCAGCTGGGGAATACTTCAAAACACTTAATTTGACAGATACAGACTCCTCAACAAGATCCAGAGATCAAGAAAATTAACATTATTCTTCACAATTCAACAAAACAAGAAGAATTGAATAGGCAAGATTTATATTTTAGTAAGTAAAAAAAGAGTATGAGGAATATCTTGTCTGGGTTTTAAATTAAAAGAATCCTTGCGTTTTTTATGGTTGTTTGCAAAATAAAACTAAAGAGATATAAAGAGGATAATATTTTGAAATCTACAGAAGAACTGAAGTTGTTTTTTGAGCATTGATTTCAGACAAAGGCCCAAATTCTTTGATCTGCAGAATTATTTAAACCAAATTCTTATATCAGAGATCCCGAACCATATCAGTCTATTCCAACTAAGTGAAAAGAGTTGGTCAATGAACACATTTATACTTACCTCGGGATCCTCTTGTGAAATCTAATAGGATAGACACTCTAAAATTGGGACTCCCACATCCCTTCAATGAGCCTTCCAAAGCTATTTCAATACAATCCACCTACAAGAAGAAAACATACACAAATGAGGGTGAAGGTTTATTCTCCGAGCTTGTGGGTTGATTTCCAAATGTTTCGATACCAGGCTAGGTAACAACTTCAGCGGGATTTAGGGGATGTCAGTGTCACCCTTCACCCTCATCCTACACCCAAGCTACAGATATTCACCACTATTGCAAACATACACAAATACACAAGGCAGTCATCCTTTCTTTCAAGGATACTAAATATTGGGAAGTGAAGTGTGCATAAAATAAATCAAATGTCAGATTTATAGAGAACTTCAATTTGCCAAGCGGGAAATGTCAATGTTTTCCTAATTCTAACTTTGTTTCTCCTGTCACAGCTATATAACAGAGTGGATCTCTGAATTAGAGTTCTGAAGCAAGAGCTCCTGCCCACTCCCCAAATAAAACTCAATCTAAGGCATCTCTTATCTAGTTATTTAGTAAAAAGGCTTCAGTCCCTCCTTCTCATTTTAGATACTTACTAATTCCTGTTCCAAAGATCCTGTTCCAAGATATAGCGAAGCTAAAACAATTCGTTGCTTAGCCACCTTTGCCTGTCCCTAAAAGAGAAAAACATTTAGATTTGCTAATGAATCTATCAAATGAAGCATCCAAGTACAGATAGTCTTTGACTTATGACAATTGAGTCCCAAATTTCCATTGCTAAGCAAGTCATTTGTTAAGTGAGTTTGCCCCATTTTATGACTTTTCTTACCACAGTTGTTAAGTAAATGACTGCACTTGTTTGGTAACACGATTACTAAATTAATCTGGCTTCCCCAGTGACTTTGTTTGTTAGAAGGTCACAAAAGATGATCGCATGACCTCAGGACACTGCAGCCATCATAAATACATTTTGATCACATGACCATGTGATACGACAATAGTCGTAAGTGTGAAAAAATGTAAGTCACTTTTTTTCAGTGTGTTACAACTTTAAATAGTCACTAAAAGACTGGTTGTAAATCAAGGACTACCTGCATCTCTTATGGGACACCTAATACAGTACTTAATTTTATAAGAATCAATAAAGCTCAAATTTACCAGGAAAAATATTAAACATTTTTGCTCACAACTGGACTGAGAATAAGTTTCTTGGTTGCAAGTGAGTATATTTCTCTTGTCAACTAGAAGGTCAAGAAAGACAAGCCTGCTTGGATGATTTTCTTCTTTAGTCAAGAGTTGAATATAGTAACCAATTCAACAAGGAATGGTAAGGTAAAATTACTTTAACCTATAAGCCTAAAAAGACTTTTTAGAACCACAACAGAACCACTGAATACTCCTGTCATGTAGTATAACAAAACCAGTGACAAAACATGCAAGAGAAAAATATTGAGATCACCTTCATAAGTTCGTAGAATTCGGCTGGCGATGAAAGTACCTTGATGTGGGAGCCAGCAATGCCAAATTCTGGAACCAAGTTTCTGATCCATTGAAAAATGTGTGTTCCCTCAGGGCTAAGGCAATTAGTAGGAAGAGTCAGTTGTGGAACTGCAGAAGTGAGTAATGGAGCCAACAGCAGCCATGATGACCTAATAAGAAAAAGAGATTATTTTAGCAACATATATGGTTTTCTCTTAAAGCCTGCAGACATTTGATATACTAAATCCATATATAGTATGTCACAGAAGTGAGTACACCCCCTCACATTTTGTAAATATTTAAGTATATCTTTTCATGTGACAACACTGAAGAAATGACACTTGGCTACAACGTAAAATAGTTAGTATACAGCTTGTATAACAATGTAAATGTGCTGTCCCCTCAAAATAACACAACTCACAGCCATTAATGTCTAAACTGCTGGCAACAAAAGTGAGTCATTTCTTCAGTGTTGTCACATGAAAAGATATACTTCAATATTTGCAAAATGTGAGGGGGTGTACTCACTTCTGTGACATACTGTAGGTCCATATTTCACCTATATTACAAGTAAGTTTTTGGTACAAATAGGAACAACATTCTGCAAGCAAAGAAGAGGTACCTACCCTATACTTTGTATGTGGGAACTAAGTAATTACATACTTAGTAATAACCCATCAAAATGGTTATAAACATATATATATAATTGGCCACTTGCAAAAAGAAAAAGCAACACAAACCATATAAATACTACTAAAATAGAGAACCAGTTTAGTTAAGGTGCTAGGCTAGAAACTGAGAGACCATGAATTCTAGTCCCCTCCACAGGCATAGAAGCCAGGTGGGTGACTGTAGTCATTCTCTCTTGCAACCCAGCCATCTCACAGAATTGATGTTGTGGAGAAAATAAGAAGAGATGGGGATAGAGAGATAGATAATTTTATATATATATATATGCATTTTATTTTATTTTACACACACACACACAAACACTGAGTTAAGTGGCATAAATGGGATAAAATCAAATTAAAAAATCAAATCAATCAAATTAATAACAATTGTTCCATTAGTTCTTAAAATATCATTCCTAAGTGAGTAGACTGCTCTGCTAGCTGATTCCCTTCATTGACTTCAGATGTCTTTCTAGAATAAATGTGATTCTGAGCAAGCGTATGCATCCTTTTCTGATTTGCCGCATGTGACAGGGCTATATTGTTTAATTAGAAAAGCACCACGGACCCATGTGTTGGATTCCGTTCCAAACACGTAATTTGGAGTGTACAACCATACAAACAGAGTACCTCTCTGCAGGCTTTTAAAGCAGCCACACCTTTTCTCAGGACTATGCAACTGTGCTCTTCAACTATTTTATGGTCCCAGGAGAAGATGCAGCAACTTTACAAAATTATAGACCAGTGCCCCACTCACATTCCTTATTTCACAGCCTACTCTTGTTGGAGGATTGAGTCACTATGTTCCCACATGCTAAGCCATAGTTGGCTAGTTTGATTAAGCCATAATAGTTAAGATTCTCAAAACATTTCAAAGCCAAACCAAATTAATCATCCTAATGGCTTGGGATGATGTACAAAACTAATCAAGGACTGCAAATTTGAATGTGTAAATTTGGATTCTTAATATTAAATGCATATAATTTCTAAATTACCAAATTATGTTTTATATTTAGCTATTATTATTATTTAATCCATTATCATGTATTTCAAGTTTTTCTTTATATGAGCATTGTATAAAAATTTAATAAACTACCAGTGAAGCTTGAAGAGGCACATCTAACTGCAGATAGCCAGTTTCTAACCCTTAGCATTTTTACAGGCTCGACTAATATTTTCCTACTATAACGTGATAAAAAAAAAAATCAAATGACTTTAAAGGAAAAAAATTTCTTCCTAAGACATTTTTACATTACTATATATCATCAAAGTATTTCTAACACAGAAACCATTGGTTCACTTGTCATCCTGGCCCCACACCGCTCTGTGGTCATAGTTTGCCCCAGTGTAGTCTCACTACAAAGCCCTCAAATGCTTAAACGGAACAGCATTGTAGGAGGAACTCTTAACTATGAGGAACTCTCAGTCCAAAGCACAAATTGACCACAGGTGCCAGGAAGATGATTTCACTTGTTTCACAGAAAAATGTTAAATCTTTACAAGGTTTGCATGCATCCTTCCCCCTTATTCTCCAGCAAAAAAACAAAACCAAAAATCAAAACCAAAAATGGTTTGCCACTGCATTTCCCAGAAAGCCCACCGCTTTGTCATTGCCTATTCATACAAGGGAGATCTGACTCAGTGTGTACAAGAATTCCTAGCTATTCTGTTTTTCAACAGTTTTGTGGGGACTGGGCATTTCTTTGGCAATACTGAATTACAGTAATCTGGAAGGAAAGTTGCCATTATCCCGAGTTTAAAAAGAGAACTGCACAAATTACTTCCCCAATGAAATCTTTCAACACGCAATCAAAAGGCAGTGAAACAGCAATGTCCTATTGAGGTTTAACCAATATTAGTCTAGAGTAACTATCTATCATAATAAAATTAGGGTATTTTAAAAAGTCATTGTTCACATGTAAAAAGTAATTTTTAAACTACCATATTAAACATGTTAATAAAAAAGTTATTCCAACTTCTAGTTCTACTATCAATTAGAATTCATGGAATCATATCTATACTTATCAGTTTACAAGAAACAAAATCACATTATTTGTACACTTCTATTTATATAACATAATCAATATTTTTCTATCAGTAAGTCATACTAATGCCTTTCCTATTTCCTCTGAAGCCATCAATCCCGATTCATATATATTGATAATGAACATGCATTTAGGACAATACACAGTATTATCGTTAATCTACTTTATAACTAGGATTACAAAATAGCTGCTACTTTAAAGTGTATGTCAGGGGTGTATGTGTGTATATAGGGTACAGATCCTATTTATTTTAAGAAATTAGTCTAGTTATATCTGATTCCAAAACATAGTTTCAATGTTTTTTTTCCATAAAACATGAAGATGCTATTGATTTTCTTCCTATAAAGAAACAATTTCGGCCAGATTACACTTAGAGTAACTGAAGTACTTAAAAGAACATACAGTATGTCAAATATGCTGGCTCTAAGATACACCTTTGAAATGCCATTTAAAAAATTGTAGTCTATTTCAAATCAGTGGTCCAAGTAGAAAACAACGATGCAGTAGCGCATATTAAAATCAACATTATCCAGAAAGGAAAATGAACTGAAAATCACGCCTTTCTTTTCTGGATTTGACTTTCTACTATTAATAAATCTGGGGGTTTTGGAATCTCTATTTTTAGGAAATAGGATTTTGACTAATATTAGGAATGAACTCAAAGCACCATAATACTTAAATTGCAACAATTTTACCAGAGGCAAAGACAGATTAACAGGATATTTCTCATGGTATTTATCACCCACACATGAACCACATTAGAGTGACTTCTGCTAATGACTCTTGTTTCATTGGAATGCTTGAGTGTATATTACAGTATTTCTGCATATGTTATGACTGAATCTGGGAAACCAATTTTATTGTTAACGTATTGATGCCAATGAACAATAAAGACTCAAGGGTAACTTCCTTAAACAAGAGAAGAGGCTGAGCATGGACATGTGGCCCCAGATTATCAGTCTGCCCTTGTTTCAACTGAGTCATGCTTACTGGATATTACATATTGCTTAAGTCTACGTGTTTCTGGATGCTATCTGACTTGTAAAATTAAAAGCAAAATGAAATCAAAGAAGAAGCTGTTTCTAAAAACAAATTGTCATCTGATAAATACAAAACTATATTAATGAAATATAAACTAACAGAATTTATACATAACAGCTGTAGCATCAATTCTCCAAAAGCTCATAATGCATGAGTTCATTTTGCACTACTGAATTCCTAAAGTCTATAGTTGTCATCTGACTTAAATTTAGAACAAAATTAATATTACTACCCTGTTTCCCCCAAAATAAGACATTCCCTGATAATAAGCCCAATCGGGCTTTTGAGCGCATGGCAATAAGACCAAGTGCTTATTTCAGGGTTCAAAAAAATATAAGACAGGATCTTATTTTCAAGGAAACACGGTATATACAATGAACATAGACTCTAATACAGGGGTGTCAAATTCGCGTCGTCACGGCACATCACATGACATATCGGGACTTTTTTCCCCTTCGCTAAACCGAGCAGGGCCAGCACAAGATGTATCCAGCCCACGGGCCGCCAGTTTGACACCCCTGCTCTAAAAGGAATTGGCTTAAGGTGTCAAACTCGCCATGTCACATTGCCGTCCCATGACGTTTTTCCCCTTCGTGGAGCTGGGGTGGTCGTGGCCTGCACATGATGCATCCGACCCATGGGCCACCAGTTTGACACCCCTGGTCAGCCTTAAGCAATCTGACTGTATTGCATAATAGAAAAGAACATGCAAATTAAATGTTCTCCATATTCTTTTTTAAATGCTTTTATTTAGCCACTAACTTTACACACAGAGGATAATATAAACATATCTTCTTAATTTCTGTATTATAGTACAAACAACCTTTTACAGCCAATAATACCAGACTTGCTTAAAATGCACGAACTGAATAATCTATGGAAAAATAAGGCTCACAGGCAACTACCGGTATGTCCATGATAAAGCATGAGCTAGAGGCTTCTAAACTGATGGTTGCATTAAAGGACCTATCTTGAGAATATGTATTTTCCCTCATGCATGTACACATTTACAGCACGAAATCCCATCACTTACACAGCTGTGAAGACAAGAAAAATCATCCACAAGAAAAATCTTATTCTCATGAAATCTATTAAGAGTATGTATTAGAAAATCAGGCTGCTAGATATCTTGGTGCTCCCTACTCCAATTTGTGTGTAATCCATCCAACCACTTTTATATGATTATCTCTTTATGACTTGGGACTCACCCAACAGGGGCCTATTGAGGAAATTTATGAATGCAAAAACATTGTTTATTGTTTCCATAGTATACAACTTTTAGGGGAAAGAATGTTTGTTTTCAAAATACTGAGTTTTACTACACATAAATAAGCTGACAAGGACCCAGAACATCTGCTGAGAAAATAAAGAACTGATATGAACGCAACACACTTCCTGTAACACCAGCAAGTA